ATGCCAAAAGCACCAAAACCTGGTTCAATGACTATGGGATTACTGTGCTTGATTCGTCAGCAATCTCACCTGACTGAACCCCATAGAGAATCTATGGAGCATTGCCAAGAGAAAGATGAGAGACATGAGACCGAACAATGCAGAAGAGCTGAAGGCTGCTATTGAAGCATGCATAACACCTCGGCAGTGCCACAGGCTGATAGCTTCCATATCACGCTGCATTGAGGCAGTAATTACTGCAAAAGGGGCCCAAACATATGTACTGAGTACATATGCGGAGGTCTGGTATTGTTCTATGTACAATCCTTGTTTTATTGATTGCATGTAATATTCTAATTTTCTGAGATTCAGCCCCAAATTTGTTAAGTGAGAAATTTATTAGGTGAATTTGTCCCATTTTACGACTTTTCTTTCCACAATTATTAAGCAAATAATTGCAGTTGTTAAATTAGTAACATGGTTGTTAAGTGAATCTGGGTCCTCCATTGACTTTGTCAGGTCGCAAAATGATTCCTGAATACTGCAACCATCATGTGTTAGTTGCCAAGAATCTGAATTTTGATCACCTGACCACGGAGAGGCTGCAATGGCCCTAAGTGGGAAAAATGTTCATAAATCATTATTTTCAATATTGTTGTAACTTTGAAAGGTCACTAAATGAACTGATGTAAGTCGAGGACTACCCATATGTGCAAACTTAGCCGTTAATGGAGTTTATTTGCCGCTCATTTTGCCACACCTCTGGGAGGCTTTCAACATTAAAAGCAATAAAACCATGAAAAGTAGGTATTTCTAATAACAATAAAAACAGAAATGATAATTAAAGATGGGGCAAGAGGGAGGCAGGTACATGGAGTGGCAGAGGGTTGGTTGTGTTATGATTATAGTTGTACCATTATGGTTGGTGTGCCACGGTTACAGTATAGTAGAATATATTTGAAGCAAGTCTGTGTCATTGACTGTTCATTATTAAGAGTTTAATCTTAATGAGACTGACATTTCACAGCCCAGCAGGTTTTAATAGATGCAGCAGAGAATGGATCAAGACTTAGTGATTAACTTGTAGACTTAACTGGGGAGCAGAGTTGGGAGGAGTTGTAGTTAAGAGCACCTGGACTTTGAAATGTACTGCAACACCACTGAGCAGGAGTTCCTTCTGCAAATATTTTACTCAGGTTCAGCAGTGCATTTTAGGTTTGTCCTATCGCACAGAAAGAGATGAAAAGCCATTAAAGATTATGGGTTGCTGTACGTTCCTTTTTTAAAAAAATTGTTTATAAAATACAAAAAAATATGAAAACAAATAGTAGGAAAAATAGAGGAAAATGAAAGATTGCAGAAAAGAAGGGAAAAAGAAAGAAAAGGCATTGACTTCCGACACCCTTTGGTGCTGTAGAATGACAATAACACCCAACCTCAACTTTTTATTTTTACATAGTAGTATAAACCAGCTATTTCTATATCAACACATCTATTTAATCGGTAAAACCCAAAATCAGTTTCATTTTTTTTCCACCTCAAGCACAAAGTCCAGAAATGGTTTCCAAGTAGAAACAAAAGTACTTATGTTTCTTTTATCAAAGCGGTCAATTTAGCCACTCTGTTAACTCCATCAATTTTTGCAGCCATTCTTCCATTGTGGGAATTGGAAAATTGTTGAATTGTGACTTCACCAAGTACAGATTGTGGATGATATGCTATTGATGTCTTCCTTCAGTACCTGGAGAATAGGCTTCAGCTAAACATTGGCAAGATTGAGCGGATTTGGGATTTGGAGCCTCCTCTATCTGGTAATTTATTATTTTTGAAAAGGATTGCACAGCTGGAAACAGATCCAGTACACAATCTAGGGGTTCTTCTGGACTCCTGCTCAGAACATATGGCATGGCCAGCAAAGGATAGACACAAATTACAGGTAGTTGGAAAGTTCTTCAACAAAAAGGAAACCAAGCGCTTTATGAAAACTTTCCATAAAAAGATTGGAACTATTTAGCCAGTTAAAATAAATCTGCAGAAGAATTAAAAGACCAACCAATCAGCAATTGTTTTATTTTAAATATGAGTATTGACAAAAGCAAGTTAGTGGTCCTCTCAAAGAAAGGATATTGTCACTGCAAATTTGCAAAAGGGAAGTGGAGTCATTGATTGCAATAGGTGGGCATAGGAATTGAGTAAATAAGTAAACTATGCTCACCATAATTTATATCCCATCTTCAAGCCAAAATAACCTAGAGATAAAGACTCCCTTGAATCAAATTTCACATTTCATAGCAATATACAATGCCACGGTCATTTTTTAGTGGTTTTTTTCAACTTTCTTATAGCTCTGGATGTTCAGATGGTTTTTTTTTACCCCAATACTATTCAAACATGATGTCTATGGAGATTCTCAGTCATCCGGGTCATGGTTGTCCCAAAGGTATTTTTTCAAGAGGCATCTGCACTTTTTGGATTTTCTTTGGAGAGGACTGCTAATTTAAAAGAAGGGTCAAAGAGGCCAAAGTTGAACAGTCCTCTCTCAACAGATGGGAGTGATATGATATCATCTATCTCCAATCTACAACACAGTCCTTTCAACAGTTCCAAGAAGGCTCCACGTCCATTTGCACCACTCAGGTGACCCTGAGGACACAACTAAACCTCCAGGTGACCTTAATGACCTGCTAAAAGAATGCAAATGACCATCTATCTGCAAGGAGTATACAACAGGGATGAATTTCAGCAGGTGCTCACAACTTCTGGAGAACCCGTAGCGGTAATTTTGAGTAGTTCAGAGAACCAGCAAATACCACCCTTTGGCTGGCCCCAGAGTGAGGTGGGAATGGAGATTTTGCAGTATCCTTCCCCTGCCACGCTCACCAAGTGACACCCACAGAACCTGTAGTAAAAAAAAAATTGAATTTCACCATTGGTATAAATCCTTCAATTCCCCACTATCCAGTCAGAGTTGCAGAAGCTTCTTGGATGAGAAGCAAAATATCTTCAAGAAAAAAACAGAAAGTCCAGTTGTCTCTTGAAAAAGCATCTTTGGGACAAACGTGATCTACTTATCTTTTTTAGACTGATGCTTTGAAGATAAATAGATTTATTACCTTATAAGGCATTAACTGAGGATGACAACTGTCATACAAAACTTCTCAGGGCAGAAAGTTAAACTTTTACTACACTAGTATATATATATAAATTCTTAAACCCGTGACTTTTATGGCAATTACACAACGGTGCAGCAAAGCCAAGCTTCTGGAAACTATTCCAGTTCAAAGGCTATCTTTGCTCAATCGGTGAACTATAACCGGCCACTTATATTTTTAACTCATCTCTTATTCCACTCTTAAGTAGTAGTAGCAGCCCACTACTAAAACGAGGCTTTGCTGCACTGTCACAATGCGTTACTCGAGAGTGATTTACAATTACGGAGTAACGCATTGTGACCATGCAGCAAAACCTTCCTTTTTATTAAGGTTTTTTATATATATAGAAAAAAATTGGAAAATTAAGGGAAGGGAGTGGGGGAGAAAGAGGCTGTGGAATAAAAGGGGGAATAGAAAAAGAAAGAGTTGACTTCCAACTCTTCTGAGCACAAGATAAACGCACTCCAATCTCAACTTTTTGCGTTTACCCATTAATATAGAACAACAAACCCTCCCTTTTAATCCATGCGCTTATGTACGGTTCAATCCGAAGCTGCCTAAATAATATTTTAAATCCATGGTATGTTAAAAAAAAAAAGAGTCCAAGACTATTGGGAAACCGTCATCTATAAATGCTGGAAAGCACGCATTTGGGTTCCCTCCCAAGTCGGCAACCCAGAGATTGCCAAAAAAAAAAAAGAGAGCCAACACTTGGCTGCAATAATATCGGCCGTCCTCCTTAGTTCGCAATACCCGTACAAAAGTACACCGCTCTCCGCTCAACCGGCAGCCGCTCTCGTTATTCTGCTTGCAACCAGAGAAGAGACCCACCAACCGCCGAACCCGATCGCGCTCCCTCGCCCCGCCCCTGCATACATTATCCTCCGGGCGCGCGACGGCTCCGCTCTTCCCACCAAGCAGCCCCACCCACCCGCACTTCCCCATCTCTCTCTTTCCCTCCTCTCTCCAAAGCCGGGTGGGAGGGTTCGGGAGGAGGAGGGAAGGAGGGAGGGAGGGGTTGGACTCTCCGCGAGAGCGAGACAGACGCGCCGAGCGCCCAATGCGCGCGCGCGCTGCCTTCTCCGAGAGGAGGGGAGTATCCAGAGGCTGCGCCCAATGAGGCGGCGGCCGGAGCGGGACTTCCTTCAGGGATCCCGCTAGAAGGGGGAGAAAAAAAAAGGGTGAGGCAGCCCGGCAGCGGAGGTGACACGTAAGTACGGGGTTTGAATGGTGTCCGAAAAAAATATAAAGCGAAGGCGGAGAACCGGCGGAGAAAAGCTACCTTTGGGGTAGTTTGGCACCAACACACACAGAGAAAAGTAACTTTAACGGGGAAAAGGCGCTATTCGAAGATCCTCTCGCCTTCCACCCATCCCTGCCAAAAGCGAGAACCTCTCCAGCCCCGAAGGGGGGGAACCGTCCCCAGCAGCAACGCTGGTTGATGGTTCACCTTGAAACCCCGCAGAGGAATTGATGAAGCAAGGACGAGCCTGCCTGGGGACGTCCCGCTCCTTCTGAACTTGCATCTCCAGTCCGAGCCCTGCTGGGGACGTCTCCCTTTCGGATGCCCGGTTGAACCTGCCCCCCCCCCCCCTTCGCCTGATCTCCTGGAGAACCCGCAGCCCTCTTTGCAAAGCTGGCTTGCTATGACCTTGAATTCCTGGCAGGGGTTGTAATAAGCTGGTCAAAGTTTGCACCAGGGCCTATGGCAGCAGCCGTGCGGGAACCAACTAGTCCCTGAGGTTATTTCCCTGGTTCATGTTGTGTCCTGATGCTGCTGAAGTCCTAGGTGGACATCGACTTGGGTCCCCACCTCCAAGGTAGGGACTATGGGAAACGGGATGTGTTCCCGAAAACAGAAGCGGATCCTGCAGTCCCTCTTGCTCCTCACCGTGGTGTTTGGCTTCATCTACGGGGCGATGCTCTACTACGAGTTGCAGAACCAGCTGAGGAAGGCGGAAGCTGTGGCCCTCAAGTACCAGCAGCATCAAGAGTCCCTCTCGGCACAGTTGCAAGGTAAAGTTTGCTCCTACCTTGGAGAGCTCCTTCAGAAGCTCCACCTGCTTCCCACCTGGTTGACTTGGGCTGCATGCTCCCCATTGCACCATGGCTTCACCATAGTTTGCTGACGTGCCTCAATTGGTTTAACCCAAAGCCAAATGACTTAGTGTGCTGTGAGAACTTACTCCTTTGAGTTTTTGGGGTCCCGGCAGGTGGGTTAGTCTTGTGAGGTTGCTGACTCCAGTATTGAAATTGACGCCAGTGTTGAAATTAACAAACAAACAAAAAACATGTGGACAAGCAACTCTTTGTTGGTGTGCACAAAGCCTGTTGGTTTACAAATTAGTTCTTTTCTGTCAAGTTCTAATTTGTTGCTCTTTTACATTAGTAGAGCTGAGGGCGTAGTGAAATTCCATGTAGCAAACTGTACCTCATAGCCTTTGATAGACATCAGGTCAATCTTTTGAAGTGTTCACCTTGTTCTTAGTTCCACTTGAAAATGGCAATGGAATCAGTAGCATCTAGAAATTTAGATTCTCTTTTAGAATCATCTTGAGATCTGTCATATCTTACAATAGACAAGTCCTTAAATTATCTCTGTATTGTGTAAGAATTGCTATTGTTTAGCACTAATTAGCTAACGTAGTTTCTTTAATAGGTATAAGACACTTTCAAGTTGAGTTTGACTTCTTGAGACTGTATTCATGCTCTGGACACATAATAGGAATAATTTGCAACTGCTTTCTTATTTTTACTTTTTAGTCTAGCCAACAGCTCAAAAAATTGCTAAGCTATCTCCTATTCAAGTGCCTGGTAGCGCCAAGCAGTGTTGAAAAAGCATATTTTCTGATCAGCCAAGGCAGACTAGGTGCTGCCATCTGCTGAAGAATTGTTAGAATTAGATGATGCCAAAATGCCTAATTGACAGAGGACAATTGCTGAATATTCCCTTCTTATGAAATATACATCTATATATTGCAGTCTTTGGTGCTCTCTGAGCTTGGTTGTTTGCTTGCAAGTGTTTCATTATCCAAGTAGATACCATTACCAGTGTTCAGGTAGTCCTCGAGTTATGACCACAACTGAGCCCAACATTTATGTTACTAAGTGAAAAATGTGTAAAATGAGTTGGCCCCATTTTATGACTTTTATTGCCACAGTTGTTGAGTGAATCATTGCATTTGTTAAGTTACTAACAAGGTTGTTAAGTGAATCTGGATTCCCCATTGACTTTTCTTGTTGGAAGGTCCCAAAAGCTGATCACATGACCCCAGGACACTGCAGCCATCATAAATATGAACCAATTGCCAAGCATCTGAATTTTGATGATTTGACCATAGGGATGCTGCAACAGTTGTAAGTGTGAAAAATGGTCATAAGTCACTTTTTTCAGAGCTGTTGCAACTTTGAACATAAACTGTTTTAAGTCAAAGACTACCTATATTCTCTCTCGCTCTCTCCCCCTCCTTCTGCTCTCCCTGCACTTTCTGGAAAATACAGATTTCTCAGGAACACAAAAGTTAGTGATCTTGAAAGTAGCCTGCCGTAAAAAAAATGTAGAAACTAAAATTTGCAGAAAAATGTTTAAGAGGATCCTCAGCAAAATTGAATATATCAGATTTCATTTGGCCAAAATTAACAGTCAAATAATGTAGGAAACAGATCAGTTTGTTTCTCACGTCATCCATTCTGTTAAATTTAACTTTACTTTTAATTTTATTTGATCTTTACTATTGTGGCTTCTGAATAATGAATTGTGATTTGATATGTTGTAGAAATCTACCAGTTGTAATTCATTCAATAAAAAGGTAAAATAGGGTCTGTGGATTTTAGTCCGTTAGTCATTGTTGACTATAGGGGGCTGTACTCATTTCAAGGCCATTTAGCCAGTGCTATCCGAACACATTTCCGTGGTCATGTGGTCAGCATGACATCACGGAGCACTGTTACCTTCCCACTGAAGTGGTATCTATTTATCTACTCGCATCTAAGTGCTTTTAAACATGCTAGGTTGGCAAATTCATTCAATAAGTGCATTTAAAACCCAAACCTGGGTTTATCATGTTTTCTGAATTCAGTCTGTGTAAATGCCCTAAAGGCTGCCTTCCAAATATTGAAGAGAAGTAGTATTTTGATAAGAATTTGATTGTTTCAAACTAAAGAATCTCGTTTCTTTGAAACCAGATGTGCCAAAATTAGGGGCTTTTAAATACCTTCAGAGATGGGTGGTGGTGTTAACCATCCCTTTCTCCTTTGTTTTATTGTTATGATGATCCTGGATATGCATCAGATATGGGAGTTTAGCAACTAGCTGCTGAATGGCTTTATGAACAATCTTAATATCTATCTATCTATCTATCTATCTATCTATCTATCTATCTATCTATCTATCTATCTATCTATCTATCTATCTATCTATCTATCTTCTAATCTATTTAGTTTGGAGGCTGGCCAACTTCAGAATTACATAGGGTAGCCTATAATTCAAATTTACAGCTCTTTCTTGATAGTACTTGTAATCTGCCCCAACTGCAAGAAATTCTGGGTAGCATACCATAGCAAAAAGGAATTAAAAAATAAAACCTTAACAATAATACTCCAATCAAAAACATAAGGAAATGTTTTTAATCAGCTAGGGCTCATTGAAATAAATTTATTAAATTGCTTTGAACAGTCAACATGGGGGAGGTGACACATACTTTTGGGGACTACAATGGAAAAAGCATGTCATATTGTCTACACTCTATGCACCTCACGAGGAGAAGAGACTCCCTATAGACCTTCCCTAGATGATTGAACCAGACCAGTAATCTTAACAAAAGTATACCTGATACTTCCCAGTGCTGCACTACAAAAGACTTTAAAAATAGTGAACCATTGATTTGGTCCTGGAAATGTACAAGCAACTAATGAAGCAACTTCAATATGTATTATTTTACCCTCACAAGGATTAGTCTAGCAATAATCTGTTACATTTTGTATCAACTGCAGCTTCCAGGTAATCTCCAAAGGTAGGCCCAAGTAAAATCTATTGCAGTAGAGTTGTAAATTACTGATATTCATATAATATTTTGCACTCGGGATTAGTAATATGTTCAGATTTTGCCAGTCTCCAATTTCCCTCTATCCTGGCTCACGTGTTTAAAAGCAAGGGTTATTGGGGGTTGCTCCAAATATACATTATACATAGCTGCCTGAAAATAAGGCTTGTTAAACTGAATCAGATAACTGAATAAACATGCATATATTTTTAGATGTGTAATACATCATTGCATCATTACTTTAGAATTTATGAGATTACGAGTTCAAATTAATGGAATAAATACATATTTGATAATTGTGAATCATCAGATATTTGGCCATTTAAAAAGAGGCATATTGAAATAAGATTTCATCCAGATTTCCTGAAGTATTTAAGCCAAGTCAATCTGCTGGGAAAAATATGGTTCTAGTGATCAATTTTGCTTGCTGGCTAATGACATGATGTTATAATGAAAGATTGTTAATCTCTAATGCGTTTGTGAAAATTAATGTTCCATAAAGCAATGTTGAGAAGTGGAATCTAAAAGCATAATTACATTGGAATTTTGGAATTGGGATATTGGAATTTCCGTTTAGTACTGACATAAAGCATATAAACATTGATATCGCATCTTGTGAAAATCAATTGTGTTGGAGATGAATATTGGAAATGCATTTTTGGAGGTCATAACATACAGTAATTAATATAGTTAAAGCATTAATTATTAGAGCCATACTAGTAATTATAGTAATTTTCAGCCTTTATATATATATGGCATAGAGCTGTTTTTCCAAAAACATTGCATACAGAATCTCAATTAATTTAGTTACGGTACTAGTAGATCTGACAATTATTGCGTCAGGTTCTATTGCAATCCAGTTAGAAAGTCAATCCATGAATTTTCAATTTTTTAATGTAACCATCCATAGACATACATGCTTGATAAGAATGATGTTTTCTGTCTTAGTTCTGACAACCTGAGTGTGTAGATTGGCAGTAGGGCAAGGGTAACATTCCTATGTCACATCAGCAAGAATTAAATAAAGATAATTTAAAAATTACTAGAATTCCATGAGATAATCACGTTAGAAACTTTTGGTTTTCTTAGACAAGCTCTTGCTTAAAACAAGTATGGTAAAATAATTTTGTATGCTACTGCAGATGATCAACATCTTAAAGATTTTAGGTGAATTATTTTGGAGAGTCGATGTTATCATAAAAAGGACACAAGTAAAGTCCACAGAGTAGGAGCACGCTCACAGGACACGGTCCAGGACTTCCAAGTCTGGTCCATCCGGCTAAGCGAGTCCACAAAGCAGAGTCCCGGCACACAACAAATGGCAGTCCTCAGGGCACAAACAGAGAAAAGAGAAGAGGAAGTTCTAAGGGCAAAGCAGTCAAGGCTAGGCAAAGGCGAAAAACAGTCTTCAAAGCAGTGGTGGGTTTCAAAAATTCAAAAACCTACTCTGTGGGTGTGGCCTCCTTTGTGGGAGTGGCTTGCCGCCCATATGACCGAATAGGAGTGGCTTGCCGCCCATGTGACCGGATGGGAGTGGCTTGCTGCCCATGTGACCGGATATGAAGATGCCGACAACACTTGTCAGAACCACCTTAAATTACCTC